AAAATATTTTTCAAGAATATCTTCATAATAAGGGGTGTTGTTTTTAGAGATGGAGAAATTTAAAATGAAATAAAACACAAAAAAAAGTTTTTAATATCCTTGAAATGGTCTTTATTTGAAAGATAATTTTTTGGCATTAATGTTTGAATATAAATTCGAGCATGTGGGCGCCGCGCCTGGCGCGTACTATGGCATAATCTGGAGGTCTAATTTTCAGATCCTCTTAGCAGTATTTCAGCAATAACGTGTCAAATGTTGGCTTCCAAGTACTTAGTTGTTTCTGGTTTATCGGCGCAGACATGCGTCTTTACATATCCCTAAAGAAAATAATCTAATGGCGTCAAATCGCACGAACGATATGGTCAGTTAACAGGTCCATTTTGTGAAATTAATCTTTGGACAATGTTTCTTGCAGTAAATTAATTGTATCACGTACCTGCTGAAACCACATGTCTCCAACATTAATGCCTTCCAATTGAGGCACAAAAAAGTTACTAATCATGTCTCTGTACCGCTCTGCAACGTTCTGTCCATCAACATTTTTGAAGACATATGGACCAATGATTCTACTAGTCCATAAAGCACACCAAATGGTGACTTTTTCTGGATGTAATGATGTTTTGACAATGACATTGTGGAGTATCATCGCTCCAAATTCGGCAATTATGTTTGTTGACATAGCCATTTAACCAAAAGAATGCTTCATCACTGAACAAAATTTTTAAATGAAATTGTAGATCAATGGCAATGTTTCTTTTGGTCCATCCACCAAATGTACGGCGCGAACGATGCTCATGAATCTTGTAAGCACGTAAATCAATATCTTTTCCATAAAGTCGATGGACACAAGTTTATTTGTTGAGTACGATGACAAAATGACACGTTCGGATCATCATTAACACACTGCTGCATACCAGCAACCGAGTGTTGTGTACTCACTGTACGACGTCTTGCGAGATGGACATTATTGTTTAGAGTAAATAATGTACTGCAAAAACGATCCAGTTTCTCGAATTAATCGCTCTGATGGACGATTATGAGCACTATAAAACTCACGTATTGCCAGATGTGTTCTTCGAATTGAACCCTGTCTTTCAAAATAAATTTGAGCTGATCAAATATCTGATAGCCTTATACAGGGATTTCATTTCAAAACTAGCCACCCAAAATAACTTTTAAAATATCTTTAAAACAAAAAACACGTTAATTTACATTTACGGGGGGACACATTTTACAAGTATCTGTAACCGTGCAGTTTCATCCCCTAATCGGTGGTTAATATCACTTCTAAAATTTTAAATAGAAAGGGGTATCATGTGATAGCTCTTCTTAAAGGTCTCTTTTTTTCCAATCTTTTGACACATTATTTTTTAAATCGGATTAATTTTTCACCAAGTTATGCCATTTTAACCTTTTAAATTAAAATAATTATTATTTACATTGTATTTACATTATTAATATTTTATTTGCGTAAGAATTACATTGTACTTAAATAAAATGTCCGCCATTGTTGGCAAGGCAATGGTAAAGTCGCAGCTCGAATTCATCCCGCACTTTTTGAAGCGTCTCTGGTGTAATCCGCTCACACTCCTCCACTATTCTACGTCTAAGTTTAGGAATACCGCGAGGTTGAGTTTTATACACCACAGTTTTTAGATGTCCCCATAAAAAAAAGTCAAGGGGCGTTAGGTCGGGTGATCTCGCTGGCCATTCTGTAGTGCCCCTTCTTCCGATCCATTTATCTGGAAATGTCTCATTAAGCCAATTTCGTACAGGCAAGGCATAATGTGGAGGTGCTCCGTCCTGTTGAAAAAATAGGTTTTCTTCGTCTAGTAACAAATTTCCATCTTGATCTATTTGGTTTTCTAAGGATTCGGTTATAAGAGGATTTATCAGATTTTCTAATAAGTTCAAATACAATTCCCCAGTTAAATTTTCCTCCATGAAAATAGGACCAATCATTTTATTACCAAGAATTCCGGCCCATACGTTGATTTTCTGAGGATATTGGCTGTGCTCTTCCCGAAAAACATGTGGATTTGTATTGTCCCAGTACCTACAATTATGTTTATTGACAAATTCATTTAAAAAGGAACCTGCCTCATCAGTAAAACAAATATTTTTAATAAAATGATGGTCTTCATTTGCCCTTTGAGTCATTAATTCGCAAAATTCTAATCTTCTGTCATAATCATCCTCAGCAAGGTGTTGTAAAAGCTGTATTTTGTAAGGAAAGAATTTATTTAGCCGTAACGTTTTATGCACAGAGCCAACGGAAATATTTGTTAATCTGGAGACTTTTGGTATTGATGTTTGAGGTTCCATGGCAAAATGACCTAAAATCTCATCTTGTGCAGCTTCAGTTAAAACTCTACGATTCCTTACAGTTTTATTGCGCACACTTCCAGTTTCTTGAAATTTATGAACTAAATCCAACACCATACTGATGCCCAACATTTTTATCGGGATCTCTGATTAAAAACACGAGCAGTTCTGCGTGCACAGCGTTGTTCTTCACCATAAATAAAGATTATTTCAATTCTTTCTTGTAAAGAATAAACCGTTGTCAAAATTAAATTGTCAGTACACAACGAAACCAATAATCTACTAATAATAAATTATTTTAATTTACGGCCAAAAATATCTTACGCAAAAAACATTTAAGGCTTTTTGCTAACTTGTTTATCTCGGTATTTATACTCATGCATTTTAATTCAATATTTTAAATTTTTTCCGGTTTCTAGGTTATAACTTGGTGAAAAATTAATCCGATTTAAAAAAATAATGTGTCAAAAGATTGGAAAAAAAGAGACCTTTAAGAAGAGCTATCACATGATACCCCTTTCTATTTAAAATTTTAGAAGTGATATTCACCACCGCTTGGGGGATGAAACTGCACGGTTACAGATACTTGTAAAATGTGTCCCCCGTAAATATAAATTAACGTGTTTTTTTGTTTTAAAGATATTTTAAAAGTTATTTTGGGTGGCTAGTTTTGAAATGAAATCTCTGTATGTATGCCAGATTTTCGGACTCATAATTTTTGCTAGAGAATGTTTTACTTGCGCAATAACATTGTTTTCTCCCAAGAAAATTAACAAACCTCTAGAGTTTTTGCTTTATAAATTATAACATTTTGGAGTTAGGGGTAAACTACTGAAGTTGATAGAGGGCTTCCCCACTGAGCTTACTTCCCAGGTATGTGTAGATTCCTCACTTTCAAAGGAGCACAGGGAATCAGTCTTAGGATAACTGCTGTTCATTGTGTACTCAAGTGATCTCTATCAAGGACTCCACACCAACAACCCTTTATTTTCTTATGATGGAAACTGGAAACTCATATGCAAATATACTGCTACATCATGCTGAATTACAAATGGACCTTAACAACCTCAAAAGGTGGACACACGAGTGGAAAATACCTTTGAATGATTCCAAATGAACTGTTATACATATCTGTCAAAATAATCCCAAATTTAACTATTTGTTTGAATAAATGGAAATTACATCTGTAACAAAACAAAAAGACTTAGGAATCACTTTAACATCTGACCTAAAATGGGAAACACATATCACACAAATCAAATCACCAAAAAGACCAATTCAATGATTTACCTTATTCAAACAGCATTAAAAGACTTATCAACAGAAATGATCTTGAAACATCATAAATCATATGTAAGACCACGTAAGAAACTTGAATACGTCCAAAACTGTCTGGAATCCATACTACGTCAAAGACAGAGCAGATAGAAAGAGTGCAAAGGTGAATAACCAGATTACCACAAAACCTTAAGGATCTGCCCTATGAGTACAGGCTTGCAAGATTACACCTAACAGTCACTATCCTTGTAATCTGAGAAACATCTATCACTTTAGTCATAATACAAATCTGAGAGGTTATGATCAAAAGCTTTCTAAAGAAAAATGTAATAAACTCATGCGGAAAAATTTTCTTATCAGTGGTGTAGCCTATCATTGGAATCGCCTAAGCATCAGTACCATTTTTTCTACCTCCACAAATCAATTCAAGAATCGCCTCAACCAGAAACTCAGAACTTGGACCAGAAAAACTTTTGTGCACTACTGTGTATAGAGGACAATACAAAAACAAAAAAAAAACAAAAAAGTAAACAAACAAAAAACAAATGAAACAAAAAATAAAAAAAAAAAATAAAACAAAAAAAAAAACTATTGTGATATTTCTGCTAAATTGTGATAGCAGTTTAAAAAATACAGCAGTCTCATCGGATTAAAACCGCTTACTGCTGTTAATAATAATAACAATAATAACTTGCAAACATTGCTCTGGCGTAAGTCCAAACCAAACTAATATCAAAACAACTGAGAACTGTCAAATTAGCTGTCACTAGGCATGCCACCTGAACGTGTTTCGCCTGGACTGTTCAGGTCTTGAACAATTTGTCCGGTGTCCTGTCGGATGATGAAAATGTCCGGGAATATCTGGATAACTTTGGAAAAAACTTGTTTTTTTAGAAGGATTTGGTTTATTAACAATACACAGACTGATGGCATTTTTTAGAAAGGCAACGCAACAGAAGTACCTGGTTTAGAGGACTTTTTTTTAGAAGATCGACAGAAGGACCTGGTTATAAAATTATAAGGTGGGGAACTCTTTTTTTTTTAATTTCACAAAAAGGTCCGAGTTTTGAGAAATGAAAAGGTGGCAACCCTAGTTGTCACAGAAAACAGTGTTGCCAATTTAAAGGTGTCCGCCACTAAAAGAAATACACCCATTATATGAAAATCAGAGATAAAAAAAGTTATTTTCTTAAATTTTATGTATGCATATGCAATGAGCTTGTTTCTAAATGTCGATATTTTCTTGAAATAAAATTTTAAAACAACCAATTTACAATTGATGTTTTCTTTCCTTTCATCAATGTCTTTGGCTTCAAGGACAACTTAGGCCATTAGCCTCGTTTTCTATGTAGGTTATGGAGTACTAGTGGTTTAATAATAGTAGTAGTAGAACTTACCAGTTTTATAATTTTGATAAGCATCCAGTTGTTTGTACTTGTTGTCATGAGCTTGAAGAAAACTGGGGCAAGACTAAGATAATTCTTGGGATTTTTCCTTGCTAACTCACACACAACATTTACTGCCGCTGATTGAACACCTAAATATAAAAAATAAGAATTCTAAAGTATACTTTAGAAAAGAGAATTTTGCTTGTTATTTATGTACCAAGTCAACAAAGTGATTCTTTATCGAACTAGTCTGAGATTATTAGCCAATCGAGCGAGCTGAGTAACAGGCGAGTTGCCAACTGTAAATAATTATAATTAATAAAAAAGTAGACAATACAACATCACATTTTATTAGGACAAAGTAAACAAACATAAAAATAACAGCAAATACAAAACAAATCAGTTACAGACTATTTCTGTCAGTCATGGCTATGTTGATAAATATTGGCGGTAGATAAAATATTTGATTTTTACAGTGAGATAAAGTGTTTGTTTACTTCCTCAAATCGCTATGTTGGCTTTATTGACGGTTGGGGATACATTTATTTGCATATATTTTTACCTGGATCTGGGTCTTCCAATTTCTCCTTTAATCTAGGAAAGGCAGGTCGCAAGGCATCAGGATATTTCAAAAAAACTTTATACATCATTAGTACAGCTTTTTTTCTTATGTATGGTTTGGTAGAGCTGAGCTAGAATAAATAAAGGTGTAACTATTATTATAAAATATATATTTTCAGTAGAAGATTTACAGTTACTTGAATAAAAATATATACTTACCAATGTTAATATATCATTTGACAAATCACGGGCTAAATCAGTACTTATGTAACAACTTAGTGATGTTAGAGCCAATCCTGCTTCATACTGATTTTGGGAATTTAATTCCTTTCTTATCATATTCGTAGTAAGCATAAGTAGCTAGAAAGATAAAACAATAATATGATGCACCCTCAGCATTTTAACCCTAGATTGCCAGTGTTATTCAATAGTCTTTTGTTACCAGTAATACGTCAATCATTTTATGTGTTCATTTTTAAAAGATATAAACTGTAATTGAAGACACAAGTTATTCCCTAGTACATGAGTCCTTTATCCACTGGCAACTTCTATATTTGATGATATATTGTCAACGAAAACATTTTAAACGAATTTCAGGTACATAAGTCCATCATTCACAGAAAAACACCATTTAAAAAAATGTTACATAGGCCCTTCATCCACTTGTGTCTTCAATTATTATTATGCCAACTTATTAAAAAATTATGTTACAAAACACTTAAAAAACTTACTATATTTTAAAATATTACTGCTTTACTATTTTTTCAACATTTGAGACACCTTTTATTCTGATGCACACAACATACCTACAGTTTTCATGCAAATCACACACTTACTTTCTTCATTCTTTTTTTAAACACATGAAAATATTTTCAAGTATATTAGAGCTAACGTACATCAATACTCTTTTTACACTATTAAGTCGACAGATTAAGGAAAGCAAAGCTAGACAACAGAAGCAGAGAGTAAGTATATATGCAGGACTTTTGATAATATAAATGTCAAATGTACATACACTGGCAATCTAGGGTTAAAATTTATAGGTTTATCAAAAATACCTTGTAAATTAAATTCAAATATTATACAGAGATTGATTGAAACTTAAACAGTTAATGAGATTTATTTACAAGAATATTTACATATTTTTTACCTCTGAATCGCAATGAAACGACTGACTGGCAGACAAATATCCTATTCTCTTCAAAGTAAACTTACTAGAGCTCATAACTTCTATTATGTTAAACCCAGCCCAGGATATGTCATACCCCAACATTTGTAACTGCAAAAAAACAACTAAGTGTTTTGAAGATGTTAAAAAATATAAAATGTACTTACATAAGTAAGTTTAGCAATGGCATTGCTTTTAACAGAAAGATTATCCTGTCTGAGTTCTTGTTTGATATCTTCCATGCGTTCTGAAATGTATTTGGCCTAAAAAAAAACAGATATGCTAATAGTAGAAAGTCCATAAACATAACCTTACAATTACAAATTAAATTTACTCACCTCATTTTCCTTATTGTTTCGGATTCCTCTTACAAGATCTGTTAAATTCTTATCAAACATTCGTTCTATATTTCCTTTTACCTTTTTTAAAGCCATTTTTTAGCTGAAAAACGGTCAAAAATCAATAAAGATTACTAGCATATTTTGCAACAATATCTTTACTTGAAGATCGACTTACAGATTTGATTGTGGAAGGATTCTTTTTACTTGGAAAGTAATACATGTATTTCATATCATATCACAGATTCTCGTTAATTGCACAGTTTTGTCACTATATACTGATAATTAAAACTAGATAAGTAGATTAGCGACTGTCAGCCACGTTCAATCATCAACTTGACTTGACATTGATTTGTTGACAATTCTTTGACAGATACGAACCGTTCTTTTGTAATAATCGATTCTCGTCTAGAGTAACAGTGAAACATATCTAGGCTGCTTGGTCTAGCCTCGCTGCCAGCTTAAACTGAAAATCATATTTTTGCTATAAATCCTGAAATTCCAATACGCGTTGAACAAGTGCGTGTGAAAAATACCGAAAATTAGCATTAGAAAAAAATGAAGATTGAAATAATAGGCAATAAAAAAGATAAAAAGCTTATATTTAAAAATCAAAAATATAAATAAATAGTAGGTATATTATACAAATATTTATGATATCTCTTAACACACGTGTATGAGAATTACAATACAAGAACTTTTTCCAATAATTTATTAAATATAAAAATATTGTTCGTAACCAATGTTCAATAGATTACTAAACGATATACTACAAATAGAAATCAAGCTAATACTTAGGTACATTTGCACTGCTAGTCGTTAACAAATAAGTGAAGCTTCATTTTTATTGGAAAACTGTCTTAAGCTTCGATTATTTCTTAATGATTAGGAATGCAAATAAAAGAAGCTTAAATGACTTTTTTATTGAAAAACTCACATTAGGTTTTGTTTATTTCTTAACGACTATAGTGCCATTCGCACCGCTAATAGTTAAGAAATAAGCCAAGCTTAAAATGACATTTTTCCATTGACAATGTCATTTTAAGCTTCGCTTATTTCTTAACTACTAGCAGTGCGAATGGCCCATAGTAGTCTACTTAATTAAAGAACATAGGTACATGTAATACAAAATAATTACTGTCAATGTCTGTGGTTTATAAAAAATATAGCTAGTAATAGGTAATTATTTTAAAATAAAATTTATGTTGTACTAAAAAGTACTTAGTTACTTAAATGTTTTCTAATTCTGCATTTTCTTTTTCTGCAACAGAGGCTTCATGGTTCAGATCATCACTGAAAAATTAAAAATTGTGAACGATTAACCCACAAGAAAAGTGAAGGGTTCTTTACCTTTTAGATTCATCTTCTTCTGGGGCCTCAGTAAATGCTGATGGCAATTAATCTAGTTCTTCCTCTGCATCCAGTCTTTGACATAAATATATATCCAGAAAAATGATTGGAACATATAAAACATCACTATTTGAAATGTTTTCTGGAGTGAGTTTTAATATGTTTCACCAAATACATTTTTTAGGCAGGATTAGCTGGAAACCTACAAAAAACAAACATTATTAATTTAACATCTTCAACATTATCATGAATGACTTAAAACCAAAAAGCTTGTTGATATTGAAAAATTATGATTATTTTTTTTAACTTTTCAGTAGAGTTCAAAATCAAAAACAATATTACTCATACATAATAGTTCTTTGAAGTTCTTTAAATTTAATTCGCTAAATTTACCGTTTATTTTAAATTCATGTTTAACGGCCTTTTGCATAAAATGTATAGGTATACTATGTTAATTTCTTTTAAAAAAATGGTAGAGACGCTAACGGTTACGTACTTGTGAAATGCCCTTGACGATGCCTTTTCTTATTTCTATTTACAACTTACACAAACTCTCACCATTGTTAAAATTTGTATCAGTAAAGTAATAAAATACAAAAAATCACTTATAAACTATAAAAATAAGCTAGAAATTATTGAAAATCAAAAATCAAATGAGAGTTCTGACAATTTCGAACGATTTGACATGCCAAGCAAAATGAAACCAATGAAACAGACCAATGGGAATGCTGGACACTATTTTTGCCCCTGTACCAAAACAAAGTCCATTTGGATGATGGCTCTAGTACCTAATATAGGTATGCTCGAAGCTTTTAGATCGCACTTTTCTGAGAGCGCCGGGTATTCTGTGGGTAGCCGTGCTAACCCCAGCCCTTTTCTATATACCCTAGCAATTCATTTATAACTTTGTCGATCCTATATCTGCAGTTTTGGAGGTTTACTGTTTACCTCAAAATCATTATTTCAGTTTCACGAATGTGCGGAATATTGGCAACAGTGTAGGAACGTTATTTTGACATTATATATCTATGGAATGGGATTATGCAATCGATTGTAAGAATATTGGAATCGGAAACAGAATAAAATCGATTCGCTACACGTGCATCGTGCACTTTATCTGACAGTCACAGAGTAAGGTTATGTTTTGAATTTTGAATAATTTTTTCAATATTTGAACTAGAAAAATGACGGAAAGTCTTGATGAATTAATAAAGTTTGTTCAGATTGGCGCTAGACTTGATTTAAAAGCCATTGCCGTAGAATATGTCTTAGGTAAAAGCAATATTATATTTAATAAAAATGAGTTTTCTATTCGATCTTATTTCTCTCCTTGTTCTTGTATTTTAGGCCTAACTGGTTCAAAGGAAGGCTTAGAACTCGCACTAGAAAAACCTCAACTCATAGTTTCATTAATTAGTCTTCTAGAAGATACATCCATTCCAATTGCTAAAGATGCCAGCATGTGTTTAGTAAATATTTCAGCAAATGAAAAAGGAGCAATATTACTCGCAAATTTAGACGTCAAAGAATATTGCCCTCCTTTACAAAAACCTCCAGATAATATTGTTAAACAATTACTGAGTAGTATTTTTAATACAGAAAGTTCTATTGCTGACCAATGTTGCATGATTTTATCAAATTTAACTCGCCCATCTCATTTAATAGAAAAAATAATTGATCTGATAGAAGAAAGCGGTAAAACATTCGACGAAATAATTAATGTTTTTACTAAAATTGAGTATAATAAAAAGGGTGGGAAGTTACATTACCTAGGACCTGTTTTATCAAACTTATCACAAAGTCATAGGGTTAGGTTGTTTATTTTGGATAAAAGTAAATGTGTAATACAGAGGTTACTGCCTTTTACTGAATATAAAAGATCTCTTATCAGAAGGGGTGGGGTCGTAGGCACTTTAAAAAACTGTTGTTTTGAAGAGGACTACCATGAATGGTTGTTAAGTAAAGATGTGGATATATTACCTCGACTGTTATTACCTTTAGCTGGTAATGAAGAATTTGATGAGGAAGATAATGACAAATTACCTCTAGACTTGCAATTTTTACCTGAAGATAAAACACGTGAAGAAGATCCAGATATAAGGTAAGGTAAATAAGTATATTTTAGAGTTGCGTAAAAGTCTAAAATATATTTTTTAAAAATACTACATTAACAGATCTTTTTTAGGTGCATTCTGTTGGAAGCAATAACACAGCTAGTGACAAAAAAAACTAATAGAGAATTTATTAGAGATAAAAATGCTTATGTAATTTTGAGAGAATTGCATAAATGGGAAAAAGATAAACAGGCATTAGCAGCTTGTGAAAATTTAGTTGACATTTTAATAAGGTAAAATTGTTTTTTAAATTCCATATTTTTTAAATTAATCAATTTTTAGACAGTAAAATGAAGCTACTTAACTCCAAATTGTATATTTTTTTAGGACCGAAGAGGAGATTGGTTTAGAAAACTTGAAAGAAGTAGAAGTGCCACAAGATCTTCAAGACAAATTTAAACTAATGGATTTGGAACAATTAAAGGATGAACAATAATAATTAAGTGTAAAAATACAAATCATACAAAATGTATATAAATTCCAAAATATTTTTAATAAATAATAAGTTTCATTTACGTTTTTGATTAGCCAAGTCCTATTATTAAAGTGTAATAATGATTGAAATATATGTAAATATATATGTAAAATATATATATATAAAGTTTATTTATAAAAAAAAAAATAGGAAAATACATTTATTTATATTTGGTTCATCAATTTTGGTATTTGTAAGGGAATTTCAAATTGTGAACATAATTTTTATTTTTAATCGAAAAATAAACAAAATGTTCAAGTTTATATAGGCACAATTTTAAAAAAGACAAAAGTGTAGTCTATTCTGGTATATTTGGAAATGTGTCACTATTTTTTGGTATTTGAATACTAAATCAAACACAATGTAAAGTATATACTGGCATATTTAAAAATCTGTGCATATTTTTCGGCATTTGAATACACTAAACCAATTCGCACAACTGAAAAGTGACACTATTGCCCAATCCTAACGAAAGCTTCCCTAACGTAGTAAATATCATATTGATTATGTGCCACTGCAATGAAGTTACATTATTGATGTAGCTTAAATACCATAGAAAAATAGTTAAATACCAAACATAAAATATATGATACTTTATAGTGATACCTTCGTCATTTTGGGGAATAGCACGGCGCCCCTGTATAGGCCAGTAAGTAAAGACATCCTATTTTGAACATTTTACATTAATTACAAAAGTTTTTAAACTTTGCAATAATAATCGGCTAGTTTAAGGAGGTCCTTTCGCCATCAATGTTAAATAAAGAATATTAGATTACCTATGACTAAAATTAATTTTATTTCTAATAGTTGAAGTCCTTATTTATCTAATAGTGAACTTTTAACTATACCTTACCGTGCAAATTTTTGAGAATTTTTTTAAAATGTATTTGTACAGTGTCTCACGAGAAAGTAAGACCTCAACAACAATTCTCGAATTATACTATTATTTATTGATTAGATGGAGTAAAAAAAAACTAAAAAGGTTTTTGAAATATTTAGGTTTTGTTTTTTACAATAAAATATATAGGTTACCGTGGAATTTATTGAGAAATTAATATTAAAAAATCACAAAAAATTTTCAACTAGGTTACTCCCATAATTCACAACTAAATTACTTCAAAGTAAATGCTCAAAGTATTGTCCATTAACTTCCATACACGAATATAAAATATTCTCAAATCTTTGTCTGACGTTTTGGAGCATTGCTGGAGTTATTTGACGACATTCGGTAATAATACGTTCACGTAACTCTTCTAAGGAACCTGGCTGAGTGACGTATTTTTTACTTTTCAGATATCCGCATAAAAAGTAATCTAAGGGGGACAGATCAGGAGATCGTGGGGGCCATTCAATAAATCCTCTTCGTCGAATCCAATGCCTAGGAAAGTTTTCATTTAAGTACTGACGAATCGCTGCAGCAAAATGTGAAGGACCCCGTCCTGTTGAAATATTAGGTGATCTTGAAGGTATCGGTTATCGTTTTCTATTATCTCTCTTAACAGTGGATCGACGGTGTTTTCGAGTAATTCCAATTACATGTCCCCAGTTAAAGTATCTGGTAAAAATAATGGACCAACAATACGATCGCCAAATATTTCAGCCCAAACGTTTAACTTTTCTGGGTGTTGAGTATGCGTTTCATGAAATACTCTTGGATTGGAATTTGACCAGTGTCGACAATTATGTCGATTGACAGTCCCGTTAACATAAAAACTGCATTCATCTGAAAAACAAATGTTATAAAGAAAATGTGTATCTTGTATGTATAGCATGCTCGCTCATGATTTCACAAAATTGCAAGCGGCGATCAAAATCGTCTTCCTTAAGTTCCTGAACTTCATTTATTTTATAGTGATGGAATTTGTTGACTTTCAAAATTCTCCTGACGGTACGGTCACTTACTCCAGATAATTCTGCAAGCTTTCTTGTACTAAGAGTTGGATCTGCAACAACTTGTCCTAAAACGGCTACCTCTACGGCTTCGTTTCTTACTGGATTTTGAATCTGCCGTTTTTTATTTTGGACAGATCCTGTTTGTCAAAATTTTGAAATAAATTCCAAAACGTACTTACGTTTAACCTGTTTGTTTGTGTGGCTAAACCAAAGAGGTTAGAAAGGGTAGAGGTAACATAGGAAGCATTTGTCGCTGCGCGAATTTTGTCAAAACCGAAAAACTGGGTGGAAGGAGTAGGGAGATGTTCTGGGCCGGACTTAAATATTTGTATTGTAGTAACTAAAAGATGAAAAATTATGAGACGTTTTTTTGACTTTATTTGTTAACACGATTCATGTATGATGAGGGCAATAACACTTTATCAATATATAACTATAGCTAAGGGCCGATTCCACCGTTGTGACAAACGAAGTTTAAATTATTAAACGAAGATTAAAATGACATTGTTAATGTAAATATGTCATTTTAAACTCCATTTAGTAATTTAAACTTCGTTTTTGTTAATATAAAAATGGCATTTTAATCTTCGTTTAGTATTTTAAACTTCGTTTAACAAAACCCTAAGTAAAAGTTTATAAAATTATTGCAACAAAATAGCTGTTGAAACAGCCAAAGTACTTTTTGCTCGAATTACACACAAGATTTTTTCTACGATCACCCCAAAATAAAATAAATAATTAAATTTTATTAGAAATGAGTTACCTTTTCGTTCGTTATAATATTTTAAGTTTATTTGACATAGGCCTACTCTTCGAAGAGAAAAAAATGTTTTGGTACTTATATGCCGGTAATTATTTATGATTTAATTATTTACGGAAAATACCGTTCAATGAATTAAAATATTAGGAAGTCAATTAATAGTTATTGATGTAACCAGTTACGAAATGCCTTATTTTGTGTAACGAGTAAATATTTGCGGAACGAGGACAAAACGGCATTTCGTAACGTGTTTACATGCAAGATTTTTTCTAATTTTGACTTGATTATTTATAAAATTGTGTTAAAAAATGATTCACCATCATTCTTTTGTAGGTACTTCCAATCAAATATTTTAGAAAATTGTTGTATTTGATTGCCCTACGACGTTTTTTTTTCTCTCAATAGTAATAATAAAAATAAAGGACATGTGCAGTGTTGAAAAAAAAACATTTTTACCCATTATCCTTAAAGGCGTACGTCAAAATTTTACCTCCAACATTTCTGGGCAGTTTTCAATAACGGTGTTATTTTAAAAATAAAACGCAATTTACAGCTTTTCTTTTTTTGTTTTCTTTTTTGTTGTTTAGCGTAATGTCATATTTTCAAATGTGAAATGTCACTATTCATTGCCTTTTTTTCGATATTTGGTTTTTTCGATTTTTTGGATTTTTGGATTTTTTATTTTTCGATTTTTAGATTTTTTAGATTTTTCGATTTCTTGATTTCTCGATTTCACGATTTTTCGATTTTTCAACATAAAAGAGGCAGTTTTATTTAACTGGTGACATAATCAACTTTTCGTAATCAGTTGCATAATGTTTCTCAAACTTTTTTGGCGACGGAACCTTTATTGAAAAGCGAAATATTTAACGGAGCCCTAAACACATAAAACATATAATTTAAAAAATTTATTTCAAATTTTTTTTTATTTTGACTCTCATTTCGACTTTCAATAGGTAAACATGATAAAAAATCGGCTCTATATTATGCTCCGATTTCACATATTCAATTTTATAATTGTAATTTGAGAATATTACTGCCCATCTACGTAGTCTGTTGGCTGAAAATTGGGGTATACGTTTAGCTGGGTTAAAAATAGTTACCACAGGTAAATGATCTGTAACTAGGATAAAGAAATGTCCATATAAATATTCAATAAATTTATTTAAGCCAAAAATTATTGCAAGGACATCTCTTTCAATTTGGGCATATTTTTGTTCGGAGTTTGATAAGGTACGCGAAGCAGAAGCTATAGATTTCTCAATATGTTTTTCAAAAACATGACATATCATGGCCCTTATTTCCACATTTGATGCATCTACGAATAATTTAATCGGCAACTCAGGCTGAAAATGCACAAGGACATCATTTGTTGTTAATTTATTTTTGATTTATTCCAAAGATTCCTTGCAAGAATTATCCCAAATCCATTTCACCAATAAAAAATAAAATAAAAAAAAGTCATAAAGCAAAATCATATCCTCCTTCTTCTTAGTAACTTAAAAAAATTACTTCTCAAAAAAAGGTCCTCAAGCCAGGTCCCTCCATTTTGTGGTGTTTTTTTTTATTGTGAATATTTTCTTCGCGGAGCCCTCACAAAGTCTTTGCGGAGCCCCAGGGCTCCGCGGAGCACACTTTGAGTAACACTGTTATATAGAGAATTACTAAATAAATAGTTTTGAGAAAACTATTGAAACCAGTTGTGAAGTTTGAAACGAATAAATTGGCAATGAAATTGATATTTTTGTATTTGATTGTATGTTTCTCTTTTCACTTCCTAAAAAAAGATTCCCCATGAAACAAGAAATAGTAAATAGTTTATAATAATAACAACCTTTATTTGCTACTCATAACATGTACCAATGACCAAGTCCGATTCTGTTTATTTTCAAATCAACAAATATGGACGTCGACTGAATCCTTAAAAATTAAATATCTCACCGAAATAAATGTAAGTTTATTTTATCTCCGTCACATTTCGCAGGTTCATTATAAATAAAGCTTTTTACAACACATCTTGGCATTTTCAACGTTAATTTCCAAAATTTAAGTCACTAAAATACTAAATTAATCCTCGTTGACACATAAAATTTGGATGGACAGCGCTCTGACATATAATGTTCTCAACTGTGATTGGTGGGTGTGAATAATTTCGAAATGGGATTATGCGCAGTATCTTATGTTCCATCTAAGGTTTGTATAATCTAAGGGCTAAACTAAAAAACAGACCTGGTAGTTATGGAAATGAAAACCTTTATTTTTATTTTACGAAAACATAGGCGTAGTAAGTTCAATTTTATTCTAAAGTTAATTATGCATTAAATTTTTAAATTGGCTTTCACATGACAATGTGCTTATTTGAACTGTCATATGTCACAGAGTCAAATTTCTTATAAAATTACCTT